GCAGGGGGTTATTTCAGCTCCTAGCTATAACTCTCGATTCTTTTTCATTATTTCTATCATGCTTTTCATACAGTATCGTGATTAGTACTCCTCTGGCCTAATTCATAAAGTAGAGAAAAGAGAAGACGAGTTCTCTGTGGAGTATCTGCCACGTGTCAGGCCCTCTACCAAATTCTTTTACATACCTTGGGCCGGTTAGGAGCTTCAGGGTTCATAGTTGTACAACAAATGTGCAAATGTACAACAAATGTACAACAAAAACTTGCAAATTTACATATAAAATCAAGTACTTCAAATCCAATTCAGCCTTGGGAATCACCTATTGAATTTCAATTTTTCCCAAAGAATGAGGGCTGACATGGTTTTAAACTTCAAAATATAATGTTCAGTTTTATTTCTTGATTCTGGTACAGTTTCACAGACCATTTTTGATCTTATTAATGTGAATCTATATCAAATTATTAATTTAGTTTTAAATGTCAAGTCATAGCTCTGGCCAGGTTACTCAGTTGGTGAGAGCATCATCCCAATATGTCGAGGTTGTGGGTTTGATCCACTGTCAGGGCACCTACAAGAATCAACCAATGAATGCATAAATAATTGGACCAACAAATTGATGCTTCTTTCTCTCTTTTTCTCCCTCCCTCCATCCTTTCCTCTCTCTAAAAAAAAAAAAAAATCAACCAATAAAAGTTTTTTATTAAACATGAAGTCATATAATACACCACCATATTTATCCATTGGGATTTCTTTATTTTTTTATTTTTGTTTTTAAAAAATATATCTTTATTGATTTCAGAGAGAGGAAAGGAGAGGGAGAGAGGTAGATAGAAACATCACTGATGAGAGTCATTGATCAGCTGCCTCCTGCACACCCCCAACTGGAGATTGAACCCGCAATCCGGGCATGTGCCCTGACTGGGAATCAAACCCCGATCACCTGGATCCTAGGTTGATGCTCAACCACTGAGCCATGCCAGGCCGGGCAGGATTTCTTTATTTTAAAAAGGCATTGGACTTTTATTTAAGTAGCCATAATAGATTTTTTTCTGTAGCACAACTAGATGTGTTTTTACAATCTGTTAAAATAATTCTTAATCATTTTGCCTTTGATTGGAATTATATTTCTAATTCAGAATGAGATATATATGTAAGTATGTTCATTTCTATTTATAACTAGAGTAAGCAAAGTTTCATCCCATAGTTCTAATGAAATGCAGAATGCTTAGTTTGTAAAAATAAGCTCTGGAAGCCTGAGTTCAGTAACTTTAGAGTTAGAAGTGAACTTTATATATCAACTAGTCTTGGGCCTGTTTTACAGATGATGAAACTGAGAGCCAGAGAGGTAAAATGGGTTATATGGAAAGAGTCCATAGGTTAGTGATGTTTCAGAAGTAAACCATCAGATAAAAGAATGAATCTGACCTATTTTTGCTTTTGATTTATTAAGGGAAATTTTTTAAAAAATTAGAGGAAAAATAATTTTAAAAGTTAATTTTAATAATTTTAACTTTTAAAATTATTTTTCACCTAGTTAACTTGTCATTTTGAAGTGCTAATGGACAACTAGATAACATGAATGGTTGCATAAGCCCATTCTTTTGCCTGGTAATGAATCTAGGGATTCAGTTTAAGTATGTATGCATGTGCAGACTAATGTTGGGTGATACTGCTTGAGGAAGATTTATTTCTCCCTACTTGTGCATGAGCAGAACAGTTTCTTAGCTGTGCAGTTCTTGTTAGAGACGAGGGACAAGAAGAAGAGCCAGACATCCACATAGTGGCTGTTTTCCTGGTTGTACTGGGCTGCTGGATACGCTAATGTTTAGAAACGTTGTTTACAGATCTCAGAGGCATTTTGCCTAGGGAATCAAGTAAAAGTGAAAATTAAAGGCAGAGGGGCTTCTGCATCTCAGTAGGGTAGATTGGTTGTCTTCATAGCTCCTGCAGTAATTACAGGTTATTATTTATTTCTCAGAAGACTGATAGCAGAACACAATATATTTTCATTTATTTAAAGTAGGAACAGTACACTGCACATATGTTTCTCTCTTTTTAAAATATGGAACAGTCCATGAATTTGCGGGTCATCCTTGCGCAGGGGCCATGCTAATTTTCTCTGTATTGTTCCAATTTTAATATATGTGCTGCCAAAGTGAGCAGTATGTTTCAGTTTTTAAGTAAAGAAAAAGCAAACCATTTTTAAGACATTACATACTGGCATTCATGCTTTCAGGTGGGTAGAGATATATATATATATATATATATATATATATATATATATATATATATATATATATACATATACAGAGAGAGACAGAGAGAGAGAGAGACAGAGAGAGAAGGAGAGAGCGAGCGCGACAGAGGTTTGCTCAACTTCAGGAAGAATAGAAAAGTTAGTGAGGTTCTTTTGCTCTAACTTTGCTGAATGTTACTTGCCTGGAATGACTCAGATAGTTCTGAAGCTTACACTATTATGTAATAAAATGATCTAGCAATTGTACAGTTACTTAAAATTTGATTCAAACTGGGATCAGAAACTTGAAATCAATTTGTTGTATTCTTACATTTCCCTACCTAGGGATTACTCTGTTTAGCTCAGTTTTCTGTATATTTGTGTTTTTTGTTTTGTTTGTCTCTCCACCCCAACCCCACAAATATGTTGGGAATTTTCTTGTGGATAACAACAAAGAAAATCGGAGGCTAAAAGCTGTGGTCAGCCAAAGATGCAGGGTCCTGGTAAAGTAGATAATATAGCGCAGCACTGACTGGAATGACATGGGTAGAAGTGCCCTGGCGGATGGAGTTCAGAGATACCTAGTGCAGTAAAGGTGGGAGACAGAGAGAAGGAAAAGGCAACTGAAGGTGAGGGCTAACAGTGATGAGGACAGGTATTTTGTAAGGAATGGCCCTTCCCTTTCAGTCTGATCATTATAGAAGGGGAGCTATTCTGCAGTGAACAGAAGATGGTCTTAATACTATGTTTTGTGATGTGACGTGCATATTCCCAAACCATTTCCATGGGTTTGCCCAGGAAATGGCTACTGAGGAGCCGCTTGTAGTTTTCCCACAGTCCTGTGATGGTAGGAAATTGAGTAATGATGGTGAACTTGAGTGGAGATGGAGATGGGATTTTTGGCTGCCATGGCCTCTATCCCTTTGAAAGAAAAGCAGGTGCATGGCTACTAGCTAGAATGTCAACCAGGTAAGCCCTGTGGCTGTATCATGGCTAACCTGTTGACAAAGATACAGTAAATCAAAACCATCACACACTACTGACTTTAGTAATAAAGTCAGCCCTGCTCAAAAAGAGGAGGTAGGCCTAAAATGGTCCCCTTCTCTTAATTCATTATAGCCCTAAAGAAAGAGCCCATGTTCATCTCTGAGCAAAGATAGTTTCGAGTGCAGAGTAATAATGAATGATGCTTTACAATTTTACAGAAAGATTTCACATATGTGCTGTTTTCTCATTTGAAAAGATGAACGATGGGAGTGGGAAGGCAAAAGGAAAATTTGGTTAACATTATTAGCATTGCTTCATTGAAAACTTCCCTGAATTCCTAGGTTAACAACTATCCATCTGAAAGTGCTGTTCCCAGTTTTCTTATATCATCTCAAGCATCCAGAGTTTGGGCCACTCTATATCCAACACATCAACTGGGTAGATGGGCAGGCTGCTCCCTCTGCAGCCACTGCCTGCCATTCTGTAGTTTCGTTGGTGATCTCCTCTACGTGAGCACCGTGGTGATGGCTTCTTGTTACAGATGAGGTGAAGCTCATCAGGTGCTCCTGGCCCTCTCTTACAAGTGCCTTTGTTCATGTCTGTGGCTTTTGCAGGAAGGCCCACTCTGAAAAGAGACAGTAGGTTGTGTCTCTTGTGTGCATGAGGCCTATCCTTGCTCTAATGAAACTAAGCTAATGTTAATGAAATTAATTTAAAGTAATATTTAAAGCCTATTTCTGTGGGGTTTTTTTTTTAAGAATGTTCCTTACCCCCAACTTTTGTGGGATACTTTGTCTCGGAAAATCTACAAAACAAGTCTACTATGTGGGAATTATGTGTAAAAAAGTTAAATTTCTTTGTGTTGTGACAGTTTAAAACCCAAATTAAACTGGCTTAACCCTCCTCCCTCACAAAAAGGGATTTTTTTGACTCATGTATACAGAAGACCAGGAAGAGGTCTTCAGGCTTAAGCCAAGGTTCAAACAGCATGACTAGCACCCAGTTTCTCTGCTTTCCATTTCTCAGCTCCATCCTAACAGCCTCTCCTTTCATTATCCCAGAGCTACATACTTCCAGGTTCAAGTTCAGAGGGGAGGAGTATGGAGCTCTTTCCCAGAAGACCCAGCAAAGATCTCTTGCAATGCACTTCACTCTGAATGGGTCATGTTTCGTCTCTGAATCAGTGCCTGTTCACTGGTTGGCTTAGACATAAGTAAATTCCACTAGAAGCACATGGGCCAAGTGTGGGGAAGGGATGGCTCTCCAGAGGCAAATTAGAGTGGGGTCGGCATTAGAAGGATTAATGGCTGCTGGGCATCAAAAGCTCCAGATGCCCTCACAGGTATGTAATTATGCAAACACTTGTATGGCTTGTAATTGTGAGCAAAGCTCTTGGACACAGGCATGTCTAACTGGAATGGCCCGGCACAGGTCATGCCCATGTTGGTGCTGCCTGTGGAATAAGGTGGTTTGCTGAGTGACGTTTAGCTCCTAGAGCCCTCTGAAAAGGGACTCTCAGACTCTCAGGGAAGTTGGAGAAACCAGTTTCAGGGCCATTGACTCTTAGACTGCAAACAGGCCCCTTTCTCCCGAGATTAGCCAGTACTGATTTGCAGCTTATCTCGGGTACAGAAAATGGAGTAAGCAAAGAGCAGCCTGGCCAGAAAGCCTGTTACGTGTGCTCGTAGACTTGACTAGGGTCGAGGACTTGCAATAAGTAAATTTAAGTCTTATGTTTAAAAGGCAGCTTCTAATTTGTTGACACTTATTTAAACAGGAACTTCCACCGAGTCAGTGCACAGCATCCCACATTATCTACAAATAAATGAAATACTATTAATCAGTGATCAAGAATTTCTCCCATGCCATGTAATGGATCAGCATTGGAAGTTCTATGTGGAATGCGAGGAACTGACATTCTAAAGCCTTGTTTTCTTAATAATGAATTAGATATTTGTTCATATTATTAACTAACGTTCATATTTCATCTTTGTGGTCTGGTGGGCTTGTTTTAACACACACTTAAGATGGTATTTACTGTTATAAGGAAAACATAATTCTTCAACTACTGAAGTAAGATGAGTACTTTTTGCCGTTTAAATAAAGGCACTTTTGAAGTAAACCATATTGATTCTCTGGCTTTCTTTTTACTAACATAAATTTAAAACTAACCTTTTCGTCATCACCTCTACCTTTGTGTAATTACAGTTATTCCTTAAGGGAAGTAAGGATACAAACAAGAGTGATGATTGGTCCGAAAAACCTGGGTAAAGTGAATCTACTTCAAACAAGACCTTGAAGTCCCAATACCTTTACCATTTACTTTGAAAATCTATCTTGAAATCAAACTTTAAAATTATTAAAGAGGTTTATTTTAAGTTTTGTAAAACTTAGCATAGATGGAATTGTAACTGTGCTGATTTGGGGGCTAATTATTCTAAATAGGATGTACTTCATCTTTGACTTTTGCTACATTTTCATGAAGATTTTTTAAAAGAGATACATTCAAGAGCATTGTAAGTTTTCTCAAGGGTCTGTCTTAACCCTTTGATAGCCATTTTATTCTTCATGTATTCATCAGCCCAGATTCCCAAATAAGCTTCTTGCCTCTGTGGCCTAATTCTATCCCTTCTCATTTGGGTAGAGAAGTCAAAATTGCAATTAAAATTACTCTAGCAAGTGTTAGAATTTTGAGGGGAGGGGAAGAAGAGATTTGTCATTTATACTTCTTATTTTAAATATATAGAATTGTAAATATCTTAATCATTAACAGTTACCTGTGTGGAGGAAAAATGAGTCTGGGAACTAAGGAGAAAGAAAGACTTTTAACTACATGTATCCTTTGGCAAATTTTGAAATTGGTACCATGTGTGTTCTTTCTATTCAGATAAAAATTTTAAGTATCTGAAAAGAAAGCACCTGGAAAGGTTTACCTATTAATAAAAGTATAAAGACATTATATTAGATCATTTTATTTTTCTTTGAGAGTCCACTGAAAATGTTCAGGATAGAATGACCCTTCAAGTTGTAATGTTTGAGACTGAACAGAATTTTATTATTCCATCATGATTTTCTTAGACTACCCTATTTTTTTAATTCTTGAATAGTCTACATGAGGTGGTCTATTTGTGTATTATTATTTAAGGAGATGTTTAAAACATGGTCCTTTGGGAATATATGTACTAACATGGAAATTGTACAAATAAGTAAGTGGAAAAATGCAAATTGTTAGACAATGTTTAATATAAATACTGGTTGTTTCAAATAAATAAAAATGACATATCTTTGAATGCATGTATAACATGCTGCCATATAGATACATATTATATATGCTCTATACACTTTATAAGCTATGAAATGTGTATTTGTGTGTATAAGGGGGTGGAGTAAAATCCTGGAATGCTGCAACTAAAACTACACAATGACAGTTCCTAAGGATATTTTTAAAATTTTATTTTTCAATTACAGTTGACATGCAATATCATATTAGTTTCAGGTGTACAACATAGTGATTAGATTTTTATATAGCTTACGAAGTGATCATCCCGATAAGTCTGGTGCCCGCCTGGCCCCATACGTAGTTATTACGATAGTGTTGCCTGCATTCCCTGTGCTGTACTTTATATCCCGTGACTATTTTGTACTGCCAGTTTGTGCTTCTTAATTCCTGCTGGAAGCATACTTTTGCAGTTTACTTTCAACTTAAAAAAACACCCACATTTCTTTTGTAATTAAGAAGAAATTTAAAGAATAACTTTAAAAGCAGGTATTTAGTGATTATAATTTTCAGAAGTCATACATTCTAAATTTATACTACAAGAAATCTTGCAATTCTGTTTTCATTTTAGTGATCAAATTCTTAAACTTAATTTTCCAAGCCCATTTAAAATTTTATATACCAACTGGAAACTGATATATAACACCTGTGCCCTCAGGCACACTGAGTATTGCCCAAACTAAACAGCATAAAGGTCTGCTCCAACCAGGGCTGTGACACAGCTACCTGACCCCAGATCATGCCTGTGAGAAGACTGGGCGATTTGGGGTATTTGCTAGATGTTTTGCCTATTTAGGGTTCTAAATGAAACCCTCAAGCTTCGGACCCTGAGCCATATAAGGGACTTCCAGGAATATCTAATAATCCGGTCTTCTCCCTGATGTTTGCACCCTTTCTGTAAAACTAGCTTCTTGAACACCTCCAGATACTCCACTCAACAAGGAGGCCTCTTCCCTTTCAGACAGTAGTCCTCGGTGTTAGAAAGCTGCAACCCCAATGTCCAGGCTTCACAATCCTGTTATAAAATTTATAAACTAATACTTCTTTTTAAGTCTTGAATTACTATGGCACAAGCTTCCAGTGGCCTGACTGGATGTCCAAGCATATGTTTTGCCCTTTCCTCCGCAGTTTCTGTCATTCATTCCCTTCAACTTCGCCTCCTGGGTTCTGTCCTCTCTCAGTGCGTTTAGACAATGTGCAAAAGCAATCTTGACCCCCTTTCTCACCCTAGTTTTTCCTTATAAAAACCTGTGGCACATTGTGCCAAATTCTTCTTCTTAAAAGTCTATTTTACCTCCCCTCTGCTTCAAGAGTAAAACTGAGGCCCGACATTCAAGGCCCCCTACTCTCTGATCGTACATTACCTTCCAGCTTCTTGTCCCAATCATCTCTAACCTTTGACTCACTTGTAAACTTTTTTTCGTCCTTGTTATGGGATGAATTGTGTCCCCTCAAAAGTCGTATGTTGAAGTTCTAACCCCCAGCACCTCAGAATGTGTATTTGGAGACAGAGCTTTTAAAGAGGTGATTAAGTTAAAATAAGGCTGTTAAGGTGGCCCTAACCCAATCTAACTATTGTCCTTATATGAAGAAATTTGGACGCAAAAGGACCCCAGGAGTGCACCTGCTCCGATAGAAGACCACGTGAGGACACCCTGAAAAGGTAGGCGAGAGGCCTAAGAGTGAAACCAACCCTGATGACTCCTTGATCTTGAACTTTTACCCTCGAGAACTGTGAGAAATAACTTTCTGTTGCTTGAGCCACCCAGTTTGGTGTATTTTGTTCCGGCAGCCCTGGCAAACTAAGACAATCTCTAAATCGCCCATACATTTGTCTACAGTACCTAGACTGTTCCTCCTCCCCAACACCTGCACCTCCGTCTCCGCACAGCCTTTCTGTTCTGTAGCCTGCACAGTATCTGTCAAGAAAACATTAGAACAAAACAGAAACGGTTTCTTTGTGTAAAAATGCCCCCAAAGGAGCCTTCTGTGTTTCCTATGCTTTGTGCCCTCTCTTCATGTATGACCTGTGTTGCTTTCTCAGACTGCCCAAATCCAAGCACAGTATTTATTGTTTGGCGTTACCGGTTTTCTTTTCATGGCGTGTTTCCCCCAAGTAGCTGGAAAACTTTCATGATCACGTTTAGGGTTTTACACTTTGTATTTCTTATAAAATATCCCAAACATACTAGATGCTCAAGAAATATTAATCTGTTAGGGTGTTTTCAAGTACAATAACAGAAAACCCTACTCAAAATGACTTCAGCAATAAGGAAAATTCATTATTTCACAGAACAAGTCCGGAGGTAGGAACTTCAGGGTTGGTTAATTCTTCAACTCAGCCATGTCCTTATGTCCCACCTTTCTTCCAGCTCCCTTCCCAGTGCCAAGATGGCTCTGCTGTTACAGGCAGGTGTACATGCAGGAACAGCATCATCAGGAGAAAAGAAGCATTTTCTTTCAATGCACGTCTTTTGGGAAGAAACCTTTCCTGAACATCACCACCACCTGAGAAAATTGGCCGGTGTCTCAGAACTGGACCGTCTGCCTAGTCCTTAATCAGTCACTAACCAGGGAAGCGGGTTCACCTTGACTGGCGGAGAGAAGTAAGTACATCCCCATGAGCAAGAGAATAGTCAGCTGTACAGACTCCAGGCTGCCAGTCACAAAACAACAACACGTGCACGAGGGGAAAGGGGGGGAAGAGCTAACACCTGTTGAGCGCTTAACATACACCGGCATTGTTAAAGCACTTTCAGTGTACTACCTCATGTAATCCTCACCACAGCCTATGAAGTAAGAAGTATTGCCCCATTTTACAGATGAGAAAATGGAGGTACAGGACGAAGTAACGTGGCCCAGAGTCACGCAGCTACCGAGCGGTGGAGCTGGGATTCAAACCCTGGGAATCTGGCTTCAGGCTCACGCTGTTATGTACCATAGATTTCCTCTCTCTCAACCAAAATACCTGCTTGCAAAGATATGTTAAAATTGAAAACAGTGTCCACATCACTCTGAGTGATGGTGGCCCTGTTGGCTCCTCCCACCTGCGCATTCTGAGCCAGTCGGTGTTTGCTCACTTTGAGTGGCGGGCAGTCAGGGAGGTGGGGCATGCTCGGTGCGGAAACGGAGCGAAGGCGTCTTACCAGAGGCGCTTCAGTGTGGGCATCCGTACCTGCCCTTGAGCTCTCTTTTCCATCTAGGGAGCTCCAGGCGTCAGGAGCGAATAAAGCTCACTCATCTGAGATGCTGCCCAAACTCAGTGTTCATGGGGACTGTTCTGTTGTTTTCTAGTGAATGTATGTGCCCCTAGGACCTGGATTTTAAGTCTCTTTGGATGTTCAATACTCTCAGTGCTCATAGCACATGACCCGCACATTTGTTTCTTTGGACTCCCTCTCCTTCGATTTCCCTCATCCCATTTTTGTTGCAGCCTATTTTACAGAAGGAAACCAGGAACACATCTTTTCTTAAATACAAAAAAGTCAAGAAGTGTGGTCAGTTTCTGCTTGAACTCGATCATAATGTACTCACATCCCTAATTCCTTCCCCACCTAAAGAAGGGGAACAGAACACGGGCCCGTGCCAAATCAACTCGGCCCCGTCTTCACTTAGGCCCCAGCGCAGCTGCGTGGATAACCTCGAAATTCCTTGGGCATCTTTGCAAGTTCACATTCTTCCATTGTGGCTGCTTAGCCAAGGGCTTTCAGATAGGAACAGCAGATGCAGACATTTGAAGCTGTAATGTGAACAGTGGTACTTGCAAAGGTAAAAGCGGTTAACATTTCTGTTCACAAGACACCTGGCTGAGACATGTCCCTTCAAAGCTGGAGGCAAGGAAGTGGGGAGGCGAGTTACCCAGCTTGTGGGTGAGCCTCGCACC